AGCTAAGAAACAACTTTATTTTAGTAGTTTAAGTACGACTGTGATGTAAGAACCAATTCAGATATTTCTTATTATGAAAGAGTTCATTTGAATGCAGATCAGGGGTGGGCTTTAGTGATGATGAGCTTATAGTAAAATTTAGACCTACAGTGGGGGGCAAAAGGCGAGTGTGCACGTACATACATATGCTTCCAGAGGGCGTCTTTCTGTCGACACAGAGACACAAGCCATATAAGCATGCCATTAACAACAGATTCGCTGGTTATAAAGTGCCCTATAGACAACAGGCCCACAAAACAGACATTAGAAGCGTACGACCAGGCTCGACTTGTTTCACAAGATGTCCCAAATCAGATGATTCACAAGCTAACCATGTGACATTTCATAGCATTATTGTCTTGAATCATGTTTATGGAACTTCATTTAAGTATCAACAAACTATTGAGCACGATAGCCATATATGGTTATGCTATATTATAGTAGATTAGGGCGGATATTATTCACTGATATCCCGTAAATCGAATGAAAAACCTTGCGTCATCATGAACATTTAGGAAATCATAGAATAATGCTTTCAGTTAAACGGACTCGAAATCCGGCCGAGAGGAAGATTATATCAATGCCATTAATACAACTCTAAGAGGAAAGCCTATTTGAGCTTTCTTCAAACTGGTTTACTGTCGTTCCGATTAGCAGTACTCTAACTTACAGTAACTTTCATATGTTTTAGGAAAAGCGTGGCCTATTTTTTTAGGAGAAAAGTCATCTTGGTTGCGACCTGTCACAGCGCAAGCGCTCTGGCCTTTTCTCCTTCCCTTGGCCTCTTTTCGCTAATTTTTTGCTCTTTTAACTCTTCGTGCATTTGCTTCATAGCGTTATCTAATCCTTTCGTTTTTACTATACTCAAAGCGTATTTGTTTTCAACAACACTGATTTGTCCCTGAGAAAAGGACTCACCATAATAAGAACTGCTAGTTAAGACAATGAAAACTGTTATCTACATATCCTAAACGAAGCGTTTGCGTCCGTTTGCTTGAACGTTTACTCGATCAATAGGGTCAAAGGCATTATACTAACAGGTATTTCTATAAATTTCTCGTTGTATCTACACACGGCCGGTCAATACACGATTCGAATTTACATCAGAGCTGCCGTTAGGCTTACATAAGACGGCTAGCTTCTAACATGAGCACTATATGCATTTTCTTCTCCGGGTATCACCTCACATATATCGTGCATATACTTCACAGACAAACATGTTACCATTCAATAATCACGAGGTCCTCTATTTTGTGACAATATCCATAACGATGGACTTCGCACGTGTGCCTGCAGAGATGGTGAAGGCAGATCACGGGTAGTGCGATATACATTGGAAGATTAGCGTTTAGAGATTCGGTGCGACTAACTGACCCGTCGTTGATTACTCCAAACAACTGTGTTACGCTCATAATATTCCCATATGGTTGCTAAATGCGCTAAAAAAATTATACACACTTAAAACTAAAAATTAACAATGTACCCGCCGATCAGTTCTCTGCGATTTTTCGGCATGGGAGTTGGTTGAAAAGCAGAATTCCCATGGGAACGACCTCTTGGGAAAGGTCGATTTGATGCTAAGGAATATTTAAAAAGGCCCTATAGGTTTTAGCGTAGATCGGAGGCAAGATTACGTTTCGTATAGTGTTCTCAGTAACGACTGACAAATTTCTAGAATATCTAAACGTCCCATTACATGGTTTTATCTTTTTTTTTTTTTTTTTTTTTTTTTTTTCTCTTTATTATATGGAGCAAGATTGAGTCTTAGAAGATAATTTTTCTCGTTTTTATCAAAAAGTTGAGTTGAAGTACTTTATCAGGAGGACAACAACAGCTGAAATGTTATGTTGTTTACTCGCTTGGTTTCTGAAGTGGCTTAATATGTGTAAGACATTTTGAGTTAGAAAACGAGTCATAGATGGCGCTGTGATAGCTCAACTACAGTGCAATGAAATTAATTCAATCGAGTGCTACGAACGTATGCTCTAAGACCACAGAACGACTATTTGTAAACATTAACAGCAGCTTAGGTAGTGAAATGGCTGAAGTGATGTCATCGAACTGAAGGAAGCGGAGGAGGAACAGTATAATACAGAAAGAAAACAGACTGTGACAATAACAACGGGGACGGGCCACTCTAATAACAAGCCATTTGGACTAACGTTCAAGCTGAATAAGTCTGAATCCGAAAAAGCACACATTACAACTAGAATTGGAACTATATTAACCAGCATATCTATATATATATATAGTACGCAACATATGTATCTTACGAGAATAAATATGTCCGTGAGTCTGGATGTTTACAGTTAAAGGTGGAAGATGTCGTACATCGGTATAGAGCTGTTTGTTAATACGAGTCAAGTTGTTCAAGATCTCTACATTAGTGATACGAGAAACAATAACGGTGATAATAGCGTAACCGCAATCATCCCGCAGAGGGCTAAAAGAATAGGTCTATGACATCTACAAAATTCGGAACCCAACTTAACCCCTCTATCGCATCGCGTTGTTTATTGGTGCACCACTTTCTTCTTTCGGCAGAATTAGGCTTGTGGTCCTGCTTACGGAGCTTATTGTTATCCATGGTGCTGCCAACCGGTGCTTCTCCGTCAGGACGTGTAGTAAAATACCAGCGTTCATGAACTCAGTACCGGTAATAGCTACATAACGAATACATATTTTTTCTTGTCGCGCGTACGGCTTGGCCTAGGCTTTCGTGTTGCTGTTCAGATATAGACGAAAGATTACCACACTGATAAAATGGCACGGGCAGATTTCACGAACAGTGAACACGCTACATCGAGGACTAGTTAGAATCTGTGATTTTGAGAAGCGGGAAAAGAATGACCAGGCACATCTATCATTGTTATTACGGTATTTAGTTATATACACATCTACGGAATTCAATCAAGTAAGCTGAGCAGCGGATCTAGTACCTGGCAAATGGATTTAGCTTACTACGAAACAAATCGGTCTTGGGGAAGGTCTTGGTCAAAGGGAAAAGAAGTTATGCCCATTAAAACAAAAGCTAACGTAGCGTTCACGTAATATAAATAAAGTTGTGTGATTATACTATCACGCCAGTTTTGCAATGAGAGGCTTAGAGGATACGTGACTTTGGGGTGGTTCGGCTCGATATCGTTCGTGACACAATAACGAAATGTTCCTATCTCAGGACAAGGACATAGCTTAATATATTTAAGAGAATAAGACTGTAGCAGATTTGGAAATAGTTCCTATGCGCATGGAAGTGTTTCGTTTAATGCACTTGGCTTAGGGCATAGAATATAACGATAGCTTTAGCAAAGTATTAACGTCTAAAACATAACCTATTTATTTACAGGTCAAGACGTACACTTATTATGTTATTGCTTATTATATATTTATAGGAAACAATTTATTTTCTAGCTAGCATTTCAGCGTAGAGATAAGAACAAAGAATCAATCCGTGAATGGCAGAAAAGCATAAGCTGGACTTGTTCGATGTTTTTGACGATAGATAAATGGGATATTTACATGGCCCGGATGATAATCACATACTGCACTATCACATATAGTACGAGCTTGTTTTTGCGAAATAAAGCAATGCAATTGTTATTTTAAAGAGACATATCGAAGCATCATCGCGCAGACAAACGCCACAATTGCTTTGTCTGAGTAAAAAACGCAGCGTTACCAATATGGAATAAAAGTGTCCGATACCCACTGTATTTTTGGTCATTTTTCCGCTCCAGATTTACAAATGAGCGAACGTCTAAAGGTTAAAATATTTTAAGAACGCTTTGCCCATACCCAATAATGAGCTAGCTTATTAAAGGTACGATTCTACAATCTGCAAACGCTTGTGAGGTGGCGAGGTAATTGCACTGGTGCTTCACAAGTCGGGTCAGACAACGGTCATATTCGTATACGGGCGCATGAACGGATGGGCGGATGAACGGTTTGTTTGGAACTCTCGCTGGCAGAGGCACTGATCTCTATTGATCGTTTATCAGCCTGTGGTATTATCTTCACATTGAAATTAGCCTGCAATTGAATTCGGTATCATGTTAACAGATAACGTTTAGCGTTATCGGCTCTTTGCGAGCCATAGGAATCTGGGCGTAAGCATCTGTGCCATTATGTCAATCCACAGTGACCTTAATAGGAGGTACACTTCTTACTGTGATAAAATGCTGTTACTGCTTGTAGCAGCGTAACACAATAAATAAATTTTAGTTGACCGCAGACTTTGCAACAAGATGGGCAGAACCGTTTAAGCCCTTGTAGATGTAGAGGCCGTAGATTTCATGCGAGTTATAGCAGAAAAACGGCGGGTTAACGGCATTTGGACAATAATCAAAGGCTTCTCTAAAAGTGCTCGACCTATATAGTCGATCGTATGTGGCTGTTGCTGAAAAAAGCGAACTTACTTAAGGAAAATAAAAGTTGTAAGGTTAGTAGATAGATAGGCGGCACTAGGTGATGCACGCAGTCCTGGTGATAGCTTAGTGCGTAACGTATTTGCGTGGTAACAATAGAGACCCGCTGTGGTGTAGGTTCAAACCCACACGTAGACGTGCAGTTCGTTTCGTGCTGGAAGGCAGCCAGACGTCTGATACAGGCATACAGGTGGCTTCAAGTAAAAAGACAACTAGTGTTCGGAAAAAATGGGAAGGAAATCTCTGCATTTGGCACAAACGATAGAAGACAAATCGCAACGTTCTTTTTAGCCATCAATCATCCTCCTGACTCTTTCTTAACTAGACTTTGCTTAACTAGTGCTTTAACAAAAGTATTTTTCGAGAATACAGTCGTAACAAATACAAAGTTGCTATACTCCGGAATTTGTTCTGTGATTTTATAGAATATAGTTGCAATAGGCTGATTACTATTATTATAGATAAGAAAAAAATGTCGCTTATCCGGTAATTTGTCTTGTTATTCTGTTGGCTTGCGTCTTATTCGTTTCTGTCCAGGTGTGGGCGTGCGAATTTGTGTGTCAGGGCCGTTACTGAAACACGCGCTAAGGACGATGTTCAGCAGTAGTTATAACAGGAAGGTGATGGATAGAAGTGCCCTGTCCGTATTGCTGTTGTCCGCTGTGATCGGTCTATCGTTCGCGTCAATGGAATCTTCTATGGATTCGGACGGATCGGCGCAAGTGCAGCTTCGTGACTTATTCCAAGAGTTTCAGGGTCAAGAAGACAAACGAACAGTTGATTTGGGTGGTAGCAACAACTTTCGTCGTGGTAGTGGTGAAACAGGTGGACTTGATTTGTCACAACAATCTCCACCTTTTTGGGGTAGCGTAGCTACATCAGCAGCTCAGCGCGAACCCAGCTGCGCCGAACTGCGCGCGATGTGGCGTCATACTCGTCGGATCATCCGACATGCAGCCGCTGTTTCGGAAGATGACCCTGCGTCGCCAACTAGTGGCCGTAAACTAGTTGCTGGCCATCGGTTGCCGTCATTCGTTAATACTGTAGAATATGCGTTCGCGCCTAAGTTCCTGCGTTTCTGGCACGCTCAGCCAAGGGGGCGAGGCGCTGCCGGAACAGCGGCAGCGACGACAACGACAAGGATGGCCATGACGCCAGGAACGGCCTCCGGCGGTGCCGCCACCCCCAGTGAGGCACTGCCCGTTGGTCGTGTCCTGCTTACGAAGACAAAGAGCAAGCGACCGCCACCTAATTCACTATCGGTAACGTTGAACACTGAGTACCAGGTAAGGACCATAACTGTTATGTAGGTAAACGTGGCAACGATACGTATTTTATATCCCGAACCGTTTGGATACCCTTTTAGTTCTTACGTGTGTAACGTATCAACGATTTATCAATACGAAGCGTAGAAATAATTTAAGCTAACTGATAACTGTTCTAATTTTCTATATTAATTGACCTTTAGCCCAAAAACGTATAAAATAAATGCTAGGTATATATATATGCGGTGCGGAATATAATTAGAAACAACTGCCAGGCAATCTTCTATACGTTTTGCTTAATCAGGAGACTCTATGAATTCATTCTCATCACCGGGTGAAACTTATTGTCGACGAAACCCCCTATCAAAATCCATATGATGTTTTGTAGTGTATTGATTTAAAATGCGCTTAAACGTTTCAGTTGTCAGGAAAAATAGTTAAACGTGTCATAGTGTTCATATCTATTCGCTAACCGCTGTTGCCCCATTGCAACTGCTGTCGTTGCTGTTAGGTACTACCCGGGCGGTCTTCGGGAGATAAAGTGCCACGCAGCCCCGGAGCCCTGAGCGCCTCGACCGGCGACTTGGGCGCTCTAGCTGGAGGCGTGGGTTACTTCCACGAGGACGACGAAGGTGGTGAGCTGGTGTTCCAAAATCCGTCGGGCACGCTGGACGGACTGCCTCGCGGGGACGAGGCCTTCGCCGGCGCCTACGGCACGATCGTCCGTAGTCCGGAGGAGAAGGCCAAGCTGCGCAGGGAATTCTTACTCAGCGGGGCTGCCCTTAGCAACGACCGACTCGCATCGCCGTTTTCAGCAAACTTGAACAGTGCGAAGGACATGAACACAATTTACAGCAAGGACAGAAGCTTCAATTACTACAACCAAAATTACAAACCCTATTATCGCTACAAGTCCAAATTCGTAAGTCATTGTTTTGCCAACATCTTATTGGGCTGTAATCATTGAAAATGCACCCGTATTTTTTCAAGTGACACTACTGCTAGTCGAAAGCTAGCTTTCTCACAGTATTATACTAGGACACGCTGAACTAGATTGGGAAGTATTTTTTTGAAAGGACACCCAAGCAAATCAATCGGTCCTTCCTTTCAAAGCACATGGTGTCTAAATGGTATCTAAATTTTACTCCACGATATGAACGTTTATCTAAATTTTTGTTTCCGTTGTCTTTCTAATATCTGTAAAATGATATCTGGTATGGATTTGCATGCGTTACTTTTTATAGACTAATGCTTTAGTGGTGTTGACCCACAGCTTAAATACCGGCAAGACTATAAATTGACAATTTTCGCTATTCGTTAATAGAATCATTGTGTTGCATAGATGCACGATGTGGGCGTGGTATAAATCTCTCAATTGGACTATCACCTAGCTTCGAAAGGCAATACGTTTCAGCGAATGATCAATCGAAGAAAGAGGCTTGTAAACAGATATCATAGATTTAACTCTAGTACTATGAATTGCCAGAAGTGAAACAATGACTAAAGTGATTTATGCCTGTTCTATGCGGACACGAAAGGCTTACTTGTGGATCTCCTGATCCATAACATACACGTATATGGCTGTAACGTAAACATATGACATCCGCTGCTGTCAATCCTCTCAGCGATTCTGTGCGCTTTTCAAGGAAGTTCGATTTGGTAACTTTATGCAACAGTTTACGTGAAGGGTATAGTACTACAAAATGAAAACCGAAAAAAAATGCGCTCACTTTGCAAAATATTTCTACCTTCGCGCATCGGCTTCAGTATGTGGAGTTGTCCTAGCGCTACGATACAGAGTTGAGTGACTCTCTTGGTACGTCAATATACCTTCAAGTCAAATAGTATCATATCTGGCCTATGAAACAGAGACATAAGGTTCATTGTTTGAGACGAATGGAGACATAGAAACGTCCGAATAATAATAACTTTAGGCCTTTAGCTTTTGCATATGTCGAATCGTAAAGGCACTGATATATTCCGTATCTAATAGACATATAGTAGTATCACCGCCCAACCGAAAATTGAGAACTTAATAGAAATACTTCAGCATTGCTAGAAACTTTCATGGTTAAGTGTATACCCCCCACACCCAATAGGTGATAAAACTTTCTGTACTCGTCAAAGGAGAATTTTGAGTCTAGTTTATCGCGAAGAAGCAACGTAAAATCGAAATAAGAGGGTCAGTAACTATTAAAGTTTCTATTTAGAATAAGTTCGAAAATCTGTCAGGGTCGGAGACAGTAGTAGTTCGTGCCGTTGACTCCACCAGTCAATCCAGCTCCTCTAAACAGCTCGACAATTGTTTACTTTTTGTGTAAACTTTACATTGATTTAGCCATAGACTAACATTTATTTCAATAGAGTTCTTTGTCAAATAGTTAAAAAATATATTTCACAATGTATGTGAATAGCTTGAATCTAACGATAAACACTTGTACCGTTTTGACGGCGCGAATCTCATATTAGCAGCCACGGATCAACTTTTGAATTTAGGAAGTGCCCAAAAATCAATGCTGGTCTATTGAACATAAAACTTTTTTTTCAAGCTAATGTCAACATAACTTCTTCCTGAAGGCTTAAATCATACGAAAATTAAAACGAGACACGTGTAAAGGTCATCGGTGGATTGTACTGAAGCGCCAAATGCATGAACTAAGTATAGTGAATTTTTACATCTTCTGAAAATAGGCCCAGAGGCAGCCAAACTTTAACTGTAAAAACGTTATTTATGTAAAGGTATAGGTGGAGTATTTTTTTGAATATACCGTTCAAATCCGTGGATATTCTTAGGAAACTATATATTGTTTCATATTAAATGTCAGCTACTATTTGTCCTTTTCACTTCAGTTGTTTTTGGGTATCCCGACTCAGTCTTTGCACTTTTAATATGCTGAGATTGTAAATACCAACCCGCAAACGCAGAAAAATCGAACTTTTCAAATGGCACAAGCTCGGAGCATTGGGCGGCTGCGAGACGAGAGTGTGAAACGGCACCAGCTGGTCAGTGCAGCTTAGAGAAAAACAGCCGAAAATTTCCAGATATGATTAACGTGCTAGTGGACGACTACGGTACAACTATTAAAGCCATGGAAATAAAACCATCAGTTGTGGCCGAATGTTCGCTATAGAGTAGTTGTCCTTATGGACGGTTACGCCATCGTCAGTATGCCGCCATTTTCGGTGCGCTGCCATTCCTTAGAAAATTTGGAAACAAAATTCCAAAAACATAGGTAGTAGTTATAATCATAATGCTAGTAATAGTAATAAATGGCTAAAATTGTCGCGCGTGGGCAGAATTCATAAACGCCTTTAATATTTCTTATGAAATATTAAAAGTGTATAATTTACTTGTTATTTAATATAAAGAAAATGTTTAATTATTATTTAGAGGCGAACGGGATGAAGGGTAAGGGTGCAAATTAGGCCTAAGCAAAAAGCGTAATAAGCAAGCCTGCGTTTGAGAAATAGATTGATAATTGTGGAAAAAAGCTGACTCACACTTTTGTTTCAACAAAAACAAACGTATAACGCTTTTTACTAGATCAAATCTATCGCTTAGGCAAACGTGTTCGATAGCGAGATGAACGGTGTTCAATCGGTGCTTACGTATTGCAGATCAATTCTCACCTTCAATATATTCAAGTACGCCTACATACTGCTAACATTTACTACGATTTCGATAAAAAAAAAAGAGCTAGTATGGTGGTTCTGCGATCTACGATACATTGTAACCTACACGCACCTACGTGGGTACAGAATTCTTCGAGTGTTTGCCCACCTCGGATATGTACATCGGGTCGGGTCTTGCCGTTCTGACCAATGAGCAAATTTGGCGGCTGTCCAGTGTTAGGTAACCAACAATTAACAGCTGCCGATCGTTATGAGCCTGCCAAATTGTCTCAGCAGTCTTTTGCTTCATACTCTTTGCGTGCGGCAAAAATAAGCAGCTGGCAATAAAGCAGCAGTTGATTAATAAGATCGCCGTAGATTCATGATGACAGTTAAAAAGCTAGTTAATATTCCTGAAAGACTCAACGCTGATCGAGGGCAGACTGATAGACTAGCGGAAGTTCTCTGCCTTATACTCAAAACGAAGCTTAGTAGCTGAGACAGCGTATCGGGAATAGAGGCTGGCGGCGCTTATAAATAGCGGGAAGTCTAGACTCCTCGCTGGCGAAGTACGTTGGCCACTGATTGATTGATGTACATGGCCTTTTCAGTGCGCTTCATCTCCGCAATCATAATCCTAGGAGGTCAGCTTTTTTAAATAACACACAGCAGAGTGATCACAACGACGACGACGACAACAACAACAAGATATTTGGCAGCTAAACTCTCGTGGAGTTCTTCTACCGTTTACTTACCTATTTCGAAGAAAGATACCTACTTAACTTCCTTCGATTAGATAGCCGTCAATCACTGGTAGAACAGACGCGTAATGACGCTCACGAAACGAACTTTTTACGTAACGATAATATGTGAACAATTAAAATTTATGATTTATTTAATCGGCTAGGTTAGTTTCAGGGTATCAATTGCTGATATTTAACCGAAAGCGAAACTTTTTGCTATATCACACTTGCCTGTAATGCTAGTGAGGCTCAATATATATTAAATTACTTCAAACGGCTGACTTCCAGCACAAAGCGAAGTGTGTTTACGCTCTGTTTTTGACCTAGATCGGGACCTGTGCCCAACGTCAGCAAGCAGACCCGTTACCGCTGCGCTATCACAATGAGATTTGAGCTGCAAATTTAGCGCGAGTGGATTTATTTTACAGTAATTGCTGGTACATAAAGTTTGAACTGTAATTTAGTACTAAGGATTACTGAAACGTATACATCTGCGATCTTTGGAATACTTCGACGAACGTCGGAGTGGATAGATAGCATACACACAATGAGACATTCGTATACCATAACGATGGCCTGCAATGATCCTTCCTAAAGATATGACGTATTTTTGTCTACGAGCTAAACCATTATCTCCCCGTTTATTTATATATATATATATAGTTTTCCTACGGTGGCTATGACAAAATTAGACGCCTTACCTGTGTAAAGATAAGTACTCACTTCCATACATAAATAGTGATGCTGGCTATGTATTGATATCACGATGAGCTTTTTTGAGTCACATAATGTAATTTTTCTAATTTAATGACCTAGCTAGGCCATCTTGTTTTTACTACTGACACTTATTTGCCAAGCGTTCAGCGTGAGATATCGACTTTTTTAAGTTATACCGGGGCGGTTGAAAGCATATTGATGTAGTTACGATTCTAATATTACTTTTATGTTGTGGTATAAATTTAGAATCCTTAAATATTAGTCCGGAGATTACACTAAGATACATCTGAAATGGCTGTCAGGAGTTCTCAGGAGAGTATTACAAAGAACGTTGCTAAGCCTTTCATAATTTATATTCTGATATATAAAAGCCCACGTAAAGCAAGGACAAAAGGGAGCGTAGGCAAATTCGTATTATTTTAATTCAGAAGGAATGATGCTCTATGGCCACTTGTGTCTACGCATGGACGGGTGTAGCAGACTTTACGTACACTTATACTTGCATGCTGTTCAAGTGCAGAATTATTGCACTAGCTGTTAGGAACTCAAGCGAATAGGTAAAGGTTTATAAAAGTTACCCTATCGGGGCCTTTCAAGGTAGTATCTATAATACACGCTGCAATCGTAACCGGACCAACGACATGGGCATCGGAGGACGCGACAACAACGCACAAGCCCCATCGTTATCATCGTTGCCTCCTCAACGATGGTATCATATTCACGAGCCACATACATGTTTATTGACAACTTTACCACTCGCTTTCACGAAGAAGGTGGCCTTGGCCTCAGTTACCCCACGACAAAGTGAGACGACAGCACTAATAGGCATAAGGGAGACTTGATGACGTGC